CATTTTAACGGCGTAAAATAAGTATCTCTGGCTGATATATTTTTGATACGGCATCAGTCACATCAAACCCTCACCTGTATCATATTTCACAAGTGTAAATGCGGCGATTGTGTGATAATACATATACAATATACACACGAAGCTTGGTGCTGTCAGGAGATGGAATCTTGTAAATGTGGGGAAGTTCTGAAGGATAACTTGGTTTAAGAAGATGTACCACAGCCGCCGTGCTGTTACTGCTGTATCATTCTACACTCGGGATTCAGACCTATTTGCTTGGAAAAATGGGCTCTAAGAAAACTTGCGAGAAAATACAATCGTTTAATCGTTCGTATTAAATAAACGTGATCACAGATAAACACTGTAGCTTCAAACAAGAATATATACGTAATTTGCTCTGAACCAGTCTGTTTATATTTTCTTTGATCTCGTGTCTTGTATTTTCTTGCGAAGGTGAGGGAAGTGTGGTTTTAACTCTTTGTTGTGACTGATGCCATATGAGCCCGTATCCCGCAAAATATATTAGCCAGAGATACTTATTTTACGTTAAAATGTTAAAATAAATCTATGTTTACACTCACCATAATTTAATATCTTCAAGGCCATCCAATCTTCGCTGTAGCATCTCGTTTTGTTGCTTGTGTTCCGTATATTTTTTAGATATCGCGCGTAGCATTCTTCGCTCGCTAGCGGTTCACCGGCATAAAGGCATGCATCATAATCGCCTAAAATTTCGCTATCAACTGCTTCTAGAGTTCCAATTTCGTGACTAGTATCATTTGATTCATCCTCTATATTAGGCCCAGGAATATAATTGTATTCTGAGTCACATTGAGAACCATGAGTGCTGGAAAACATATGTCTTCCCAATAGCTTTTTAGTACTCCTTCACATGTGAATTCGAACTTCCGTTCCTTAAGCTACGTCACACGGCTGTCGCCCCAGACCCTTTTCCGTTTTTTTCTCGGGCGCGACAATTTTTCGCTAAAAGCCAATTTTTCAAGGTTTAGAGCCGCATATCTCGCGAATGAAAAGAGAAAACCGAAAAATGTTAAAGAACCTATTAACTAACTCTTTGTCCTCTACTCAAATTTCAAAAAAAAATTTGTGACATAAGCACTTTTAGTGTGTTCTCAGAATACAGGAAATGCTGTTTCAGAGACCCAAATCTTAAAATTTTCTGGGGCACGCCCCCGGACCCCTCCTGGCTATCTCGTGGCTGTGGTACTCGGCTCACACCTTCGGCGATAGCATATACTACCCAGCTGGGGGGAGGGCAAGGAAAATGGGCCCTTTGGCAGTTTTGTCCCCCACTAAAAAATCTTTAAAAAATAAACTGAGCCTGACTGAGGAAACCGGAGCACCCGGAGAAAACCCACGACTTTGGCAGAACGTACGTTGACTGACTCCATTCACATGAGTCCATAGCGAAATATTCAAAATGAATGTTTCCGTTCTCTCTTTGAATGACAACAACTTAATACAAGTCTCAGCTGTCAGAAGTCAAGTCAACCTCGTTCCCAGGGTATTTGCTCTTGGGGAGCGAAATACCCTGGTATGGGCTGGTCACGTGACCCGCGGATTTTGCGTAAAATGGCGTATTGTTT